GTGTGTGTGTGTGTGTGTGTGTGTGGGTATTTAATGGGGTGTGGAGGGGTTTTGTTGTTTTGTATGGTGAGGTGAGTTTGGTGAGTGGGTTTGGAAGGGAAGAAGAGTGGCAGTGACAGCTAAGGGTTTAGTAACACAATGCCATATAATTGGCTGGGTTTTTTAATTTTAATTTCTGCATTATTTGAAATTTAATTTCAGATTTATTCTGGTGTGGTTATTATTATTATTGTTATTATAATATATATACATATATATATATATATGAATTGGATATTATCATTTATGTTCAGGCACTTTGATTTTAGTATATGAAGTTGTTTTTTTTTTTTATAGATAAATGAAGTTGTGTATTTAATTATTTGCTTGGATTTGGGTACCTGCAGCTTGGTAGGTGTATAGAAAAATGTTGAGATGCTATAAAGATGTGTAATTGTGATGATTGGTATTGACAAAAAATAAATAATAAAAATATTGGACATTATTAACAAGAGGAAAGCTTTGGAATTGCATATATCAATGACTGCATGTTGATTCAATATGAGTATAGTGACCTAGCATAAAATTTAATTGAACAACTTATGATTTGTTCCATATCATTATTGTATGGTTATTATTGAGTTCTTTTTGATAGAGTATAGTGAGCTAGCATAAAATTTCATTGAAGAACTTATGATTTGTTCCATACATTTTTCATCTCGATATTAGCAAATAGCTGATTGTAATAACGGATAGCAAATTTGGCTAACAACTTGTATTAGTGGTTTGTAAATGCGTGTTTAGCAAATAGTTGTTTACATAACTACTTTATAAATCTTATTTATGGATCATCTATATCTACAATGTTGTACAATTATTTAATTTTTTCAAAATTAGCATTTTTTGCTAAAAAGAACTATTAATTGAAGTATGTTTTTACCAAAAAAAATTAGTTATTGAATTTAACAAGTCTAAATTTTACGATTGGTTATATCAAATGATTCTGTAACATAACACTATTGTTGAACAACTTTCAATTAATAAAAAGTTATCTCTCAAAAACCCGAAATCCCCAATTTCTTATCTAGAAACCCTCGCCTGCTTGATCATTTGTCGTGCCTCCCCTCAGCTGGCTCTGCTTCTCCACGATTTTTGACCGACACTTGACTAGGAGACGCGCCACTAGTATGGTCCCTTCTAACTGACGTGGAGTCTTCCTCTTCTCGAGTGGTCATGGCGGTTCTTGGAGTGGGATTCCAATGGGTGGATGCCGACGTTATTATTAGCTCCGACTTTTGCTTGAAAGTGGCTGGAGTAGAGACCGACAATTTTCCTCTCTCGTGTTTTGTCCTTTCCTCTAAACCAAGCCGGTGGTTTGGAGGGAGGAGTTGGTCGCGTGTTTTTGATTGCTGCTCCATGGGTGTTCTTTCGAGGAGCTTTTTGTTTCGCTGTGGGTCTGGGTCTAGTCAGTAGTAGCTTTACTGGAGTTTCTCTATCTGTCTTGGACTTTCTATCTCCTTGAGTGGTCGCTTTCGGGTGTTGGTTTGATGAGTGGAGGCTCAGAGTTCCTTACCAATTGGCGGTGAGGGATTTAGTTTATTTTTAAGGTGATGTTTTTGTTTTAAGTTTGTGTTTGTAGGTTTGTAAGTTTGTTTGTTTTTGTGTTGGTTTTTATTCTCCCAGTTGTGAAGTAGTATTCTCCACTTGTGGAAGTTTGTATTCTTGTTTTTTTTTTTTTCTTATTTCTAGTCTTTTGGTGCGTTCAGTGTAGTGGATTCTAGGCTACATTCGTCTGCGATGTGTATGCTTCTATCTGAATTTAGCTTTATAGTTGTTTGTATATTGTAATTATATGTTTGTTTTTTTTATAAAACTATAAATCGTTTAAAAAAAATATTTTATTATTTAATTGATACTACCCGTGCAATGACAGAATATACTACAAAAAATATTTATTATTCCACTGATGCTTGAAATTGTCCTGGAACTTTGTCGGCCCCTCCCAGTGCACAAGGGATAATTTCCAAACTTTATCAGCCCTTAGACATTGGAATAGGACATGCTCAGTTGTTTCAGGGAGTTGACCATAGAGCATGCAAGTGGAGTCAATGTTGAGTCCTCTTTTACACAGGTTTGTAGCAACTGGGAGTATGTCACTATAGCACTTCCATAGGAAGTGCTTAATCTTGCCCTTTATCTTCAACTTCCAGCTTTTGGTTCTCATTTTTCTCAATTTTGCAGCTTCAGTGCTTCCTTCAGGAACATCAAGCTTTAAAATCTTATAAGAGATTAGGTGTGCATATGTAGTGGCCACAGTGAAAACTTGCTTAGTGTTGAGAGTCCAGATGGCTTTATCTTGCAAGTTTCTGCTCAATGGTTTGATTTTGAGGATTGCTTCACATTCAGTTATGGAGAACACTCTCTTAATAAGATCTTCATTCCAAGACACCCCATCTTCTGTCATTAGTTCAGAAACCCAAGTTAGGTTTGGAGCATCAGGGGCTTTCTTCATAAATTTGTTGGGAAGATTATGAACCCATGGGTGTTCCCATATTCTTGTTGTTCTGCCATTTTTTACATGTATCATGTAGCCACAGAGAAAAGCTTTTTCCAGTTTAAGCCATGATCTCCATAGCCATGATGCATTCTGTGTGGGCTTGGCATCAAAGAAGTTCCCAGATGGAAAGTATTTATGCCTGAGTACTCTGCTCATAAGAAGCCTTGGATTTGTGACCAATCTCCATAATTGCTTTAGAATAAGTGCTTGGTTAAAAACCTGAAGATCATGGAAGGCTAGACCACCAGAAGCTTTAGGAAGAGTGAAGAGCTGCCATGCCTTCCAATGAATACCAACACTTGAATTGGACTGAGATTTCCACCAGAAGTTTGCAAAGATTTTAGCTAGATCCTTACATATGCCCACTGGAAGAAGGAAGCATGACATGGTAAAGACAGACAATGCACTGAGAACTGATTTCATGAGGACTTCTTTTCCAACTCCTGATAAAAATTTATTTTTCCAGCTCAACAACTTGTGTTTCACAGCATCAGTCACATATTTGAAGGTGTCCCCTTTTGATCTCCCTATGCCAAGTGGCAGCCCCAGGTACCTTGAAGATTTATGCACAGAGATTCCCTGAAGAATGTTACAGATGCTGTGCTGAGTGTCCTCGGGAGTGTTTTTGCTGAAGAATACTGATGACTTGCCCAAATTTACTTGCTGACCTGTCAGAGATTTATATTTTTCTAGCATAGACAAAATGAGGTGAGCAGAATCAACAGTAGCTTGGCAAAAGAGAAGAGAGTCATCACCAAAGAAAAGATGACTGAGAGTGGGGCCTTGCTTAGGCGTGTGCAGTGGCTAGTATTTGTATTATTAGTGTTTTCTGGTTTTGTTCTTCTTGGGATGCAGCAGATTCCTAGGGTCTATTGTTGTTGTTGCATTGACTTTGTTTTGTTTCTGGTTTGTTTAGGAGATTTTGGCTGCTCTCCTCTAATCCATTTTTTTTTTTGGATCATGGTCTCTTGGATCCCGTTGTAATATTGACTGTGTGTTTAATAAGATTTCCATGATTGTTTTAGAAAAAAAAAATATTATTAAATTTTTTTTTTCGATAC